GGATTATTTTGTGCATTTTAACCCAGAATGAGGAGATACTCTCAGACCACCATCACACATGTACTAGAGATGATCATGCATGTAAGTACATGTATATGAAGTCAGCATTTCTGCATATTATTTCCAATATCCAATGACCATGAATGCACACTTTCTGTGCAGGAGAGGTCCTCAAGTACAAGTAATGGGGAATATTTCCGAAGAGTTTAAAAAAATCGAAAAGATCAAACTTGTTCTTTACAGAGAAATGGACGGTCTATGCAATTATGGTCACACTGGTTATGAAATTGTTTGTTTCTAAATAAGTCATTACGTGTATTGTATTACAGCTGATTGTGTATTTATGGATATTGAATAGCGCTAATGAACGGATTCTAGATAGCTTATTCTGATTTCTGAGAACTGAGTTCATACTTGGCAATGGAAAAGTTTTAGAACTTCATGCACCCAAAACTTGTAGGACATTTGCCTGACTGTGGTATTGATTGTATCTGTACTGTAACAAGAGGAACATTGCCACACATTTATCAAGTCCTAGCCCCTTAAAAAGTTTTAGAAATCAAATACATAAAATGTGTCCATGAGGGTTTCACTTGGTGATTTAATGCACTAACTACATTTTAAGAGTTCTTTGTAAGATCTTGTATTATGAAGGTTGTGTCTCTTTATCTGTTTAGTAGAGGATCATGTTTAGTTTTCCTATCTTTAAGATACAGGTGTGTTCATTGAATCTACACCTTTAGAAATGGTTAGAAACCGACAAAACGGGATTGGAAATCCTGTTAAAATTTTCTATGAGGTTTGTGTACCCAAGCTTTCAACTCTATTAAAGCTGTACTGTGCTGTAGGTGATACAAAAAGAATATTGATATCCTTTAATAAAGTCATATCCTATGTCCTATTATGAATGAGACTGGCATCTTTTTGGGCTTTTGTTCCCTTTCGGAGTTCTGGTTTGTGACATCTGTGTTCGGGTGACATTTGGCCTGTTATGATCAGGGTTTCTTTTTTATGTCTGGCCATTAGTATGGATTTTATGGTGATGACGCACTTACCTGTAGGGTACCTCGGTAGATTTTTTTTATGTTCATGTAGGTACGAAATATACTCCATGATTTACACTGAAACCATATTTATTGGTCAAATAAAAACATTGAAAGCATGCATTCATATCATTTGAGTAGAAAATTTGAAATTCAGAATGCTCTTGGTTCTTAGCTCCCCTGACCAAAGGCTCAAGTGAGCTTCTCTGATAGAAACTTTGGTACTATCTTTGTCATTAACTTTTCACATTTCTTCTTCAGAACCACTGGGCCAATTAGTCAATTACAACCAAACTTAGCATAGAGTATCCTTCAATGAAGAGGATTCAATTTTGTTAAAATATAAGTGACTACCCCCTTTTCCAAGGGAAGATAATCAAGAAATAATTTGAAAAAGGTCACTACAAATAACCAAGTCATAGAATACAATTGGAAATACAATGTTTATGATGCAACTGCACTTTTTTGTTGTAATAAATTCTGTACATGAGCACACCCTCTTATTTAGACGAAAATAGGGAGAAAATGAATCAAAGCAGCTATTTGCATGCAGTTATGATTGATTCTGAACCTGTTGTTTTGTCTCCATGACATTGATAATGATTTTCTTGTCACATTGCTATAGTCTACTATACAGCTCCTCGGGGAGATGTGTGCTCTTTATACATGTTTTATGTGTTACTTTATATCAAGAAATAATGACGATTGATCTCTTTGTTTGTGGAGACGAGAGGATGGTATTCGTGGCTTTATCTCTTGTTTTCTTGCTATGCAGAAAACAAGTTTCATCGTGTAGTACATCATTTTGAAATACGGGGGAGGGGGACCTTTTATGGTATTCTTAGGGAACAATATTTATCAGATATACAAGTTACTGCAAACTGACTTCTTTAGGTTTAATTATTATGTTGTTGTTTTTTTTTTGGTAATACCCATGATTTCATGTCCTTCAGGAAATGTTTTAATTGCATTTCTTCTACCACAAAATAAAAGCCCCACAAACCAAGTCTTTCCTTGAATCATGATAATTCAACCTCACAAAAATGTATGACTTTACTTGAATAACATCTATTGACAAAATTAAAATTTCTTTTGTTTTTAGCAATCTAGCAAAGAGATCAATGTTCCCTTAAGTTTTTTCATTTAAGTCAATATTTTTCTGTTCAAGACCTTCTTGTGCCTATAAATGACTGATACTGTGTGTTTTCCTCAAACAATCAAATTTTCACCTAATTCAAACATTTACAACATGAGAATTAAAAAAAAAAAATGAAGTCAAGTGTTAATCGAATTTTTATATAGGTGTTTTGGAAGACATTGACCTATTTATTTAAGTAATGGCACCTGTCTGTGTATGTGTTAACATTCTATAGATTGTAAAAAAAACTTTAATTGTCAATATAAACCCATCAAAGATTGTAATTTACCTGTCGCATTAGATCGAGTTCTTTTGCGGATTTTTTATTCCCTGTAGGTAGTAATTAATGAAGCAATCGATAAATGATGACAAGTTTTAGAAATGTTCAGAATGCCATAGGTTTAATGAAGGATGAAGATTTTATTCACAATGTTCTATGGAAACAAAAAGTGATTGAAATTTTCAATGAAAAGGGCTTTATTTTTAATACAAGCCATGGATTTGCTACACATATCCTAAAACCTGAGTCACCGGAATACACATTTTCATATTAAATACCTAGCTATAGATGCCGGTGTGACTTCATGGGAACAGTGGACATAGTAGTTTTGTTATGGAAATGACTTATTTACTTTTCTCATTGTTATTGAGATCAACATAACACTTGACTGAAAGGACATATGTACGGTATATATATAAAGCCAGACATGGTTTCCATCCCTCGTGCTTAAGGTGTAAACGTGGATAGACGATTTACTAGGATCTTCAGAAGAAAGTGGAATCTACCTGGTGTAATTATGTATAGGTCTTTGGCCCTCGATATCAAGTTTCCATTAAGATCAGGTGGAATCAATAGCGTGCTAGAAGATAAAGGGCGCTATTGCATCAACTCCCATCTTTCATAAGATCTTGCAGGTGTAATCGGCCTGTGAAAGGTGGGAGAAACCTGAGATCAGGCTCGTAGACTTCAATGTGGAATTTCATGCTGGACAAATGGACTAGGGCTCTATTTAAGAATAATTAATCTGGGATTTATTACTGGACTTTAATGAACCCTTTTTAAATTGGATTACTGACCTCATATCTACGTGTTTTGCCAACTCTTTTCAAAAGGAATGATGTCAGTTTATGTTTAAATGGATTGTTCCCATGATATATATAACACAGTGTATTAATTAAGATGACTTAATTATTGAGTTTGGACAAACAGTGGTGGTGTTTGAATGGTGATTCTAGTTAATTCCTGGAATAGAATACAAGTGAAAAGTTTTCAGTCTGACCAATTTTTTGAAAAAAATGCTGAGTTAGGGAGGCATTGATGGGACACTTGAAAGATTTCTCAGGACTTCTCCAGTCTAGTCATAAACCGTGTCAGAAAATGCGACACCGCAGTCATAAAGATGTAGAATCGTGGGTTAAGTCCAGTCTCAAGGTAACACACCTTCTGCATACAACTTATGACTTTCTCTCCTTTAGCCAATAGTGGCTTCTCTTGTACCATTATTTTCCCATCAGCATGTGTGTATTTATAGCGTAGAAATATTACTGTCAGCTCTGTAATAAGGAAAAGTTTGCAACATGTAATTTTGGCAGTGAATGAATGGTCTTTAGGCATTTGCGTTTTCAGATTTTATAAAAGAGAGGGTCAAAATGTTAACATTTATGATAAATGTTCTCCATGTTTCCATAGTTAGTGCTAAAAGTTTGAAGACTTTTGAAATGAATTACATTTCAAAACTGAAAAGATCTTAGTTCTGATGAGGTGGTGTGCAGCTTAATGGTTTTATCAAAGTGTACAAAATACCCCAATAAATTGTCACAATGCCATGTTTATCTATCCATGTTAACTTGCCTGTCTTTAAAATTATAAGTTTGTTTCACAAATATATTTGATGGCATAACTGGGTAAACTACTGCATGTCTTTGGAATTATAAGTTCATTTCACAAATATATTTGTTGGCATAACTGGGTAAACTAATACCTGTAATAACAAAAACATTGATTTAGAATGTTTGGAAAACCAATTAAATTTTTAATGAGGATTTTGACAATCTGTTTATGTGATGCCCATGACGTACATGGACAGTTATTAAATGCCCATCTAGCACTATCCAGTTGTAAGGGAGATTGGTCAATCTTGGTTTTATTTGCGTGAATCTGTAACGTACCATGGGACCTTAGGGCCCAGAAAACAAGTGAATATTTCATGAGAATCTTGGTGTTTACCTGTATACTATACTTTACGGCCATGATCTGATTTGCTGAAACTGTTAATTCCGATAGTCACACTCTAATTATCATGGCAAGACTTGTAACACTTGTTTCCTTTATTTTTTTTTTGTGCTTCACATGTTCAATCAAATCCCGTAAACATGACAAGGCAAAAAGATGTATATAAAGAATTCTGATTAATTATGAAAGAGAAGGTGCATTTAGCGACATGAAAGAGATATTTGATGAATATTTGATTTCATATTTTCTTTGGTATTTCTTCCGACTCTCTTGTAATATAAATATTTGAAGGTGTACTTGATCAATACATGCTTTAAGCATGATGAAAATGATGTACAGGTTGCAATAAATTGTATCTGCATTCTTATGTTCATTTTATCGTTTGATCCCCCGATTAATTTTTCAGGGAAATGTCAATGTCTGAGTCATATATGCATTTTAACTAATAATTGAATATTTTCGTAAATTTACAGTTTGAGTAATTATGAATATTATCGTATTATTAACAGTTTAAATGCATGATGATTTAATATTTTCGTAATATTTACGATTTAATTGATAATTTAATTTTCTCATATTTTTTTAGGACCGGGAGAAGCATGAACAGCTGAGTGAGATCTTGAACAAGTACAGCAGTACCGGAATCCCGGCGATGCCGGACCTCCTTAACATTGGTCGCCCCTGTATTCAGGAGAACCTGTTTGAGATTGAACCTCACTGGAGTTCTGTGGTCGACAATGCCTCGGTAAGGACTTAATATATCAGATGTTTTAAAAAGTTTTTATATATATTGATGTATGAAACTCAGCCTTCCCTGCAGTTTCACTTTCATATCATGCTGATGTAAGAAACTTGTGCTTTGAATTTCAATTTTCTAAATCTGTAATTTCACTTAGGCCTAATTAGGTGAAAAATGGAAATTTATGCCACAGGAGTGAATTTGTTTAGACCTGATTTGAATTCTTTTCTGTATACAGGTTTTAAAAACACATTCAAATTTGTTATTTACAAAATATCATCAAAATGGATTTCCAGTTTTCTTGATTGTTAATATGCATTACCAAACATTAAATAGTCTAATGCTTAATAAAGGTATTTGCCATGCCATTAATTCATTGTAGCATGGTTTACAAGGGTCATGACCCAACTATCCCTTATAATACCATAAATACAGTTATCTAAAGTTACTCAATAGGGGAGGGGGTCAGTGTTTACAATGGGATATAGAGACTTAAAAGTGTTGTGTATTACATATTTAATTGAAAAGATCTTTTGGGCAAAAACAGTAGGTTTAACATAGTTTAGGGCTTTTAAAAAGAAAAACAAGACAGCTGGAGCCGTCAAGTAATAAAAAATGTAAACAGTACATCTAGTCATTTTGAGCTGATAGGGCACTATATAGTATCTCTGAGATTTAGATGGCCTTCAAATTAAAGTGTAACATCAAGATTAGCGTACTGGTCTACTCAGCTGTAAATATTGAGAGGTGTTCCGAAAAGAAACCTTTTGTTTACTGTCTTGTCAGTAAAAGATGGGAGATCTGATAATGTCATGTTGTGTCACTGCTGCACTCAGATAAGCAGCTTAGCTGTACTTTAACATTATTTAAGCTTGGATGATTTTTTTATATTGTCTTTTTTTCAGATGTTGACAAAACGTCAGCATGATCAACAAGAGGCTATCTGGGAACTACTCAACACAGAACTACTTTATATTAAAGCTCTCAGGGTCATTGTAGATGTAAGTCTTAACGGTGACATGTAGCTGATGAAAGATATTTTGATCTTTTATTAATATCCAGACATAGAATACAGTATTGATATATTTTTAAAATGATCTGTCATTCTGATAAATGCCAAGGCTACATGGGCTTAATGACTAAATGAAAACAGTAAATACCACACATAACTTTTTAAGATCTTATTTCTAATTATACCTGGTACATGTATTAACATTTTAGAAATAATGGTAATTAAGTTTAATATTAAACTGTACATATTGATGTAATTAAGCGAAAAATGACATGATTTTTTTTTTACTTTTCAGTTATTTATGTGCTGTTTAATAAACTTGCAGAGTGAAAGTATTTTAAATGAGGTATGCAGCAGGATTATATGTAAAAGAATTTAATTTACATTATATATGAATAAAAGATTTTTTTATACAACATTAAACTTTCAAGAAAAAGAAATGAATAAAAAAAAATAAAAAAAAAAAAAATTATAATCATGATTACGTTAGAGTTTCCATGGACATTCAATGACAATGCAATTTTTTAAGATAATTTCACAAATTAAAATGATATTTTCCTGTAATTGTGTTCAATCTCAAATCTTTTTATTCAACAGATTGAAACCGAACTTTTATTTGGTAATATCAGTGATGTGCTAACAGTGAACTGTGATTTTTGGGAGTCCCATTTATTAAAAGTGCTGGCTGTAGCCAGAGAAAATCGAACACCCCTCAACCCCTCTGACATGAAGGATGGATTTAAAAAGGTAACACTGTTCCCATGGCCATTATATCCATAGGCTGCCATTAAACTATCATCTATCTTCCAATACCTGTTGGTATCCATAGAACATGCTGAAATTGTAAAGTCAGGCAAAATTAAATCCCTGTATTTTTTCTCCCGTTAAATCCACCATCAATAATTTTACTGTTCAGGGTTAAGTAAAAAAACTTTCCCATAGTAGGGGAAGATTATTGTGTTGCACAGTACTAAAAGTATTTTTAATTTTCTTTTTGACAGTTTGGTGAATTGTTTGGTCCATATACCAAGTACTGCACAGACCAGAAGAATTGTACAGAGTACATGAAGGCCCGATATGCAGATAATGATCTCTTTAAAACTTTTGTTGTGGTAAGTTGTTTTCACATCAGAGTCGCAATGTTTTAGCAAACTCTGCAGACTGTTTGCATTGATCCTTTGTCAAAGGGTAATGTCATTTGACTTGATCACAAGTTAATACAGGTGACATGTCAAGTCAGGTTTACCTGGCAAGGTGTGGGAAAATAAAGTTTTCATTAGTAAAGTGTAAGAAATCAAATAAAAATAAGACACTTAACATTTTATTTCTACATCCAGGTAACTTGTAATTGGAGCAAAGATTTCAAGCTGTTTGTATTTTACAGTTGTTGTTGTGCATCATTTACTACAAGATTTCATTGGTAAATGGGTCAAGGGAATAGAAAAATGATGCTTTAAATATCCTTGCCTAATTTGAAAGTTTTATAGTTTTCTTTTCACGATTTTTTAGCTCACCTCAACGAAGTTGGGGGAGCTTATGTAATACCCTCGGCGTCGGCGTCGGTGTCGGCGTCCGTGTCGGCGTCGGCGTCCCAGGTTAAGGTTAAGTTTTTTGGAGCAGTTTTCTTTTTAAGTACTTTTATGTCCTATATTGATTAGACATGCATGGAAGATGGTTCTACTGTGTTTCATTGTACCATTCAAAGTTTCAGATACTGCAGTTTCAGCAAAGGAATGACCAGGTTAATGTTTTTGGAGCAGGTTAACATTTTTAGTGCAGTTTTTGGTGTAGATTTCATTTCCAAGATACTATAAGCCCTATGTTGACCAAACTTGCATGGATGATACATCTAAGGATGCATACTACCGGACTTGCTTCGGATGCTGAATCTGACCTACATTTTCTGGTTGAGTGAACAGGTTAAAGTTTTTGGTGCAGGTTTCATTTCCAAGTAACTATAAGTCCTATGTTGACCAAACTTGCATGCATGATACATCTAAGGATGAATATTACCGGGCTTGCTTCGGATGCTGCATCTGACCTACATTTTCCAGTTGAATGAACAGGTTAAAGTTTTTGGTGCAGGTTTCATTTGCAAGTAACTTTAAGCCCTATGTTGACCAAACTTGCATGGATGATACATCTAAGGATGCACACTACTGGGCTTGCTTCGGATGCTGAATCTGACCTACATTTTCTGGTTGAGTGAACAGGTTAAAGTTTTTGGTGCAGGTTTCATTTCCAAGTAACTATAAGTCCTATGTTGACCAATCTTGCACGTGATACATCTAAGGATGCAATTTGCTTCAGATGCTGAATCTGACCTTTTTTGTGGATACTGAAAATGTTAGTTTTTAATACATGTTTCATTTCCAATTAACTATGAGCCCTATAATGAGCAAACTTGCATGGACGATACATCTTAGGATGCACACTAATGGACTTGCTTCGGATGCTGAATTTGACATACATTTTTCAGATAATAGACCAGGTAAAAGTTATGGTTGCAGGTCTATTACCAAAAACCTATAAGGCTCATATAACATAGTATAAACCGAACTTGCACAAATGTTGCATCAAGAGATGAAAATCTCAAATTTGCTTCAGATGCTGGATTTTGATTACAGTACAGGCAACGCGGATCCCGTATTTCCCGCGTCCCCGCCGCGGTATAATCACAACGCGGTATTTGGCCAGGTAGACAGGTAAACCGCGTTCCCTCCGCGGGAAATTCATCACTTACCTGTCCCCGCCGCGGTTAAATCATCGATCAATTACTGACAATTAGTATCGTAAACAAACGGGAGTTACCTCCCCGAATTGTAATTTGCGAATTTTCCCTGTAACAAAAAAAAAAAAAAAAAAAAAAAAAAAACCGTGTATTTATTAATAAATTAGAATTTAAACTAAGAAAAAAATAAGTTTATTTTTGTTTCTAAAATTACATATCAATCTTTGAAATTGAATAGAAAATTTTATTATATTGTTACGTCTTTGCAAATGGTTAATTATTTTGTGTTATTAAGAATCTATCAAGAAACAAAATTAAATACTAGAAATTTTAATTAGTTTTTTTTTAATATTCATATTATATGCAAACTGTAATAAATGTTGAACTCAGACTGTTTAAGTTTCGATGAACGATTTTCAGCATTCATTTGAAAAAAAAGATGTACATCTTTTAAAAAATGTACATCTTCATATTGTTTATTAATTAATTTCGATTTATTGTATATAAAATGTACAGGCTTTTTCTTAAAGTGTCACATTACCGGAAAACATCCGATGACGAGCATTTGCAGTTACATGTAGTGGGCACGTGAACTTAAATTTTCTTTATCCAAGATATCAAGAAAAAGTTCTATTCTTCTTTATTTCTCACAGTTTATGTTCTGTTCCCAAATTAAATTAATTTAATTAATTAATTTTCTTTAATGTATTTCCCTCTTTTATATAAATGTGCAGGCATTTTTCTCAAATTGTCAAATGACCGGAAAGCATTCGATGACGAGAGTTAACTTTGAGCACGTGAACTTTATACAAGAGATCAAGAAAAAATATCGTTTTTCACCTTCACATTAACACGTTTTACTTTTTAATAAAATGTCTTTCTTTTTAATTTTAATATTTCTCGATTTTCGTGTTCAATAGATAAGATAGGAAGTGCAGGTGTAATGATAAACTTCACAGATGAAATTAGAGTTTATATTAATAAATATTCAATGCAAAAATTCATATATTTTTGTTTTCTTTGACAAATTCTGTTTCTTTGTGTATTAAGTATTAGCCGCGATCATTTCCTGTGTATAGGGATTAGCAGTGCCTGAGCAGGAAACGATATGCCCTGGGGGTTTCACACCTGTCTTACAGTATACCTTGGGTAACGCTTGCTGGCCATTCAACAACACATTTGATTCATTGTTTCATTATTATTTCATCGATATCATTTTCAGATGCGATAAAAGCCTTGGAATTTGTGTCAAATTATTGTTGCTTTTTTTTAAACAGAGTGTATAAAAAGAATAAAAGTAAAAAAAAAACTTTTAAAACAAATTAATGAAGTATTTGATATCAATTAAATCAAATAATGATCCATTACTATGTTATTTCGTGTCTGTTTATATCTGTACCAGTTAGAAGATTGAAAGAGAGAGAGAGAGAAGAGATAGAAGAAAAATATCACAGTATTAAGGCACGTGCATGATCGTTTTTCCTCCTTTTTGATCAGTATATCAATTTCTTAAGTTTAGCGAATAAAACTACCGCTGATTTATCAGTTTATTGACCATTTGTCGAATTTGTCTAAGTTTTATTGTTCTTTATCGAGAGACTTGTTTATGATCCACTTTCTTCTTTCGTTTAGCATATGTACATGACATGTAATTTGAATTACCTCCCTTTTTGTCGCCAGATTACAACGACAAATTTTGGTGGTAAAATAAAATGTATTTTTGCTATAAAATTTGATTAAGAAAAACACAGTATATTAAAATTGTCGAATTCTTGAAAATATTTATTTGAAACAAAAAATTTAAAAAGGATTCTGTCTGCAACAAAAACATTCTTTATTTCTTGCATTTCAATTCATGAGCTACACATGAAAAAAAAAAACGGCTTCGTTTTACAATGTCGTAGGAAAACTCATACAGGTAATACACTCAGGTAACATCCTGTGTATATAGGTAGTATGTACACTAGACAGCGTCGTTCCCTCGGGGCTTCTCATCCGCTTCGAGTAAGCTCCACTCCACACCAAACTTACCTGAGGAAAACCGAACGGTTACACAGAAAACTTGAAGCATGGCAACTTGCTGATTAAAATAAGTTAATTTCTGTGTTGTGTGTTCAAATATTTTAAGGGCCCATATTTGTGTTTGTGTTTTATTTGAACCGGAGAAATCTGAAATTTGTTTATGTTCATAAACATGATTTTAGTAATTTTCGAAAAGAGCAGAAAATAGAAATACATTCAATTCTGAATAGAAATACCTGTGATTATTTTATTAACAAGAACCCCCCCCCCCCCCCCAAAAAAAAGGTCGATATTTAGTTCATAGTGTTACAGTGTAGCGCATAATTATGGAGCAACGGTATTCCTACACTTACGCGTGTTTTGTTAAAATTTAATTGTAATTATGTATCACTATCTATCATTGTTTTTCATGCTATTATTTATAACAGACATGTATACAGAAGTAACGGTACTTTTCTAAATGAAACCAAATGACTGATATAATCTCGCAGATAAATAAACACATACATGTAGCTACATGTAACTGCAACTGCACGGGCTAATAACGAACAGCGGATTACAGTGCATATAAAGAGAAGCGATATCATAACATTCTCTAAATTTTAATTATACCTTTTTAGCAATTTGAAGATCATTTGGGGTGGCATTATTGATTTTGAAAATAAACTTTAAGTTAATATATTCGATAAATTATTCGACTTTATTTCATCCTATACTGTACATGTATTACTGTTAACAGACGTTATTGAGAATTAATTAATTTTGAGTGACCATTGGTAAAAAAAAAAAAAGAAAGATGTTTTTTATTAAACAATTTGATAAAACTTAAAAATGAATTTTTAAAGAATCCATGTAATGGTATAAATCTATTAATATTAATGTGGTCGTAATCCTCCCCCTCCCCCCCCCCCCCCTCATTTCGACACGATTAAAAATCGACAATACTTTACAGGTAAGAACATCTAAGCTGAAGAATAACGGTAGCGGGCCCCGCCGCGGTGTAAACACGGTCTCAGGTAACACCGCGATCAAAACCCGCGACGGTGTAACGCGGAAAGGATTAATACACCGCGGAGGGGACGCGGTCTAATACGGGATCCGCGTTGCCTGTACTGTACATTTTCATTAAGAAGAACTAGTTTAAATTTTTTATGTAGGTCTATTTCAAAATATCAGATCAAAATTGCTTAAATATTTTCATTTTTGGAATGTACACTTTTTTTTTGGTTAATTGTGTGACTTTGCCTTACTTAAAGACAACATTCGTTGAGGTGAGCTCTGTAATCTCTGATTACCTATGTTTTTTTCATACAGTGGGCGGAGACCCAGAAGCAGTGTAACCGTCTAAAACTGACCGATTTACTGGTCAAGCCAATGCAGCGGCTGACCAAATACTCCCTGTTACTGCAGGCCATTCTCCGCAAGACAGAGGATGATCGACAACGAAGGGACCTCTTAGAAATGGTAAGGGTCATAGGTTAAGGTTAAATTGCACGTTCTGATTAATGAAAATGTAATGCAGCAGTGAGTTTGGGTATTGGATTCAAACTAAAGAGAGTGGGAAGGGGGGTCTGATAAAAAGATTATTATCTAAAAACTGAACATGGATCTTAATTGTTCATAGTTACTGTAAATCACTCTTTATTCGTGAAAACTTTATTTTCGCGTAATTACGCGAGATGGTATGCTCGCCAAAATTTCATTCTTGCGTTTAATAGAATTCCTTAAGATTATATAGAGCAATGACCACAATTCGTGAAAATTTTGTCTTGCTAATAAAGAGTCCATGACTTTCTCGCAAAAATAAGGTGTCACAAAAATTCAGTGATCTACAGTAATCATAACATAGATGTTAGCCTAGCTGATACAGGTATCTGAGCTAGTTTAGATTTTCTCGTTAATTTTATCTACAGTATTTGTGTAAAGTTTCCATTTTATAACCCCCCTCCCTCCCCTTTTGTTTTGCAGAGAACCAATACAAATACTCCAAAATTAGTACATACTTTGAATTTTTTACAGTTTTAATTTTGGTTCTTTTGAAATTTCAGATTGGAGGGGTGGACAAATTTGTCTCACATGTGAATGTCACACTGCGACATAAACATGACCAAGAAAGATTAAATGCAATAGTGGCTAAAATTGAATCTTATGATGCAGTAGAGTCACCTAATGATGAATGTCTGAGGGTAAGTTTTCATTGCATGGTTTTAAGATTTATTGAGAAAATATAATGTTTTGCATGTATTTTCTACGTCTTTTAAACATGTTTGTTAGGATGTTTTTAGCATTTATACATGGATAGAAGATGTGACATTTAAGTAAAGTTAATGGCTGTTAAGACTGATATTGTCCTTGAGTATCTCCTCCCAAAGTAGATATGATCTTTGAGGAAAAGTTTTTGAATATCATTATTTTGACTTTTATTTGCAGTATATTCAGGAGTATTATGATAACTTTGACCTTCGTGCACCCATGCCTGGATGTGGCGCCGATCACACCAGAACCCTTATTATGCAATCTGTCCTCAAACTCAAGGACTCAGCTACAAGGGTAAGTCCACTGCTTACATTACCAGCATCAATATTTTCTAAATCAGATGAAGGAAACATGGGAGTAAAAGTTCTTTTTTGTGATTCAATTCTTAGATAAGACTGATCATAGTGCTTCCTAGTTAAGACTGACTGTTATGCTTTTTGATTGCAGATGGATGTTGAATGTCTCCTGTTTACAGACCTTTTATTGATTTGTAAACCAAGCAAAAGGATGGAGAAATATAAAATTATAAAACCTCCAATGAGAGTGGATCGCATGATGATTCAGGAACTGAAGGATAAAGGTAGACATATTGGAAATATCAATAGATTAGCTTAATCCAACAAAATTGGAATATACATTATAAAATTCCACGTACAATAATCCTTCTGTAATTTCATGAGTTTATAATTTTAGAATGATACCCTACAGGTTCTTCCCTTTAAAAAAAATATGAAATTAGTTGTTAACCTGTTTGATTTAATTTGCAGGGAGTTTTCTACTGATTTACCTAAATGAGTACCACGTTCCTGTGTCAGCTTTCACTTTCCATGCAGATCAGGCTTCTATACGAGTCTGGGTAGATCATATCAGGAAAGCTCAGGTAAAGGGCAATAACTCTCTCTCAGTAATACCAAAATTTTGATATAGTCAGATTATCTTTCCTTGGCCATCTTTTGAATATATTTTTTTTTACAGACCTTGTACAGAGAAGCTAGAAGATCCAGCCAAGGAAACAGCAGTTTTACAAATCCTGGAAATGAAGAGGTGGTAGAGGAGGAAGTGATACGCACCACTCCCCTTCACCCCCTCAATGAGGATGTTCTCCTGTCTCCCTCCACTACACCATACGACGTGTCAGAACTATTCCGAAGCAGCAATAGTCCCATGCCTAGCCCAATCGATAAGTGCTCCCCTCATTTCTTCCACAAATCTCACTCTGAACAGACAATCCAAAGCCATCGGCTAGAGCTCGCAAAAGAGAGAACGCGATCGGAGGATATTCAGAGTAGTCACCCCCCTGTGCAATCTTCTTACTCAGTGCCGAATTTTGATGACTCATTAAACCCTGAGGAGGAGGAGGATAAAGGACAGGTGCAGTCCTCCTCCAATGGCTCCTCAGCCACTAGTAACTCCTCACTGCCAGACATCCTCGACGACGGTCTGAAACAGAAATTAAATCAGCGACGGTCCTCGAGGACAGACACCAAGAGGTACCTCACCGCTGACGCGATTCGGGAATTAAGTAAGCACGAGGACAAGGATACAAGTATATATAAAAGACTTTCATGGAATTGTGGAACCAAAGATGAAGAAATTAGACAAAATACACTGAAAAATAAAGTGCAAAGTACAGACTCTATTCGGAGCGTACATAGTTCAAGTGGGGTGAGCTCAACAGGGTCTCTTCATTTGAGCCCGGAGGTGGACGTGATTGAGGATTTATATCAAAATAACAATGACATTAGCACAATACACGAATCCAGTTGTAACGAGGAGGAAAATATCAGTGAAAAGGATCGACACAAATCCAAGTCCACCACAGATATTGCCAAACTGTTTGAGGACCTCCACACGAGTGAAGTGAAGGACGGGATCTCTTCTGTGGACATTCCAGCCAACCTCGAGAAGAGGAAATTTAGTCATGCTCAAATCATGAAGATAAAGAAGCAACTCCTACTTAGTTCAAATGTTGAAGCCAGGTAAATTATACTTGAGTAATAATTAGTTTATACTGTCCAATTGAAGAACAAAAATGGTAATTTTTTTATTTTAATTTTTTTTATCTGTTTTACCGGAAAGTAGAATCCTCTGAAGTTAAATTTTGATTCAAGAACGTGAATTAAATGCCAGAACAATTACATTTGTAATACCTAATCATGATGTTGATGGTTCTGAATCGATTGTCTTTTACAGTGAGGTGTGAAAGGAGAGAAATCAGTGCTACGATCAACCCAAATCCAGGACTGTGGAGTCCTATCTACTGCCAAACTATCCGCCCCTGTGTAGCAAATCCAAATTGTTCCCGATATAGCAACGGTCATACTAAAGTGTGCTGGTCAACACTGATTTGTATTTTGTAATGACTCCAGGCTTACAATGTCCACATTTATGACATATCAATGGCCATGTTCATTCCAGTGACTTTCATGCATGCCATGACAGATGTTGCCATGACAACAGACAAAAATGGCAGACATAATGGATTGTGATATTTGAGTGCTCTATAATGTTTTTTTGTGAATGTCTTCAGAATGTTTTAGAAAGTTTTAATTGTGATAATGTGCTATTTGTTTTTACAGTTTTAACTTTGTAAAATTTTACTTTATTGAAGGTTGTATTCTGATATTAAGAGATCTGAAGTAGGTTGTGGTGCAGTGTAACTTGTCCAAAATAAAATATAGATCTACTGAATATCCAGGGGAACTCTTTACATGTGTTTCCTACCAAATTAAAACAGTTGGTAAATAAAGTAGTCTATCTGTTGTCCAAAAAAATTTTGGTTTTCTAAAATATTTTGGATGTAGACAAGTTTCACTGTATTTAAACATATGCTGATAAGGGAGAATGTTTTTGATGAAGCATATCTGATTTTGTGCAATTAATACATATGATCATGTTTCTCATTTTATTTTATCCTTTTTTCAGCAGGCCGGTATACTTATGTAAATCATTTTTAAAGACCTTTTGTGATAGTGTATTGACTCTATATATGCTCAACTATAGTTATCCATAATGCAATATGTGCAAAATTCATTTATTCATAAAATTGTGTGTATACTTGTATATGCAATGATGGTTAAGCTGTCTCCACTTTGTTAAAATAATGATGCAATTGTTATATTTTTTTTTTGTTTACAGCAATGAAGAAAAGAAAGCTATTTTCTCCTACAGTATGTCTATAATCCCGTTCACCTCTGTTTTAATTTTTTAAATTCAATATAGTTTGATCTGTGCTGTAAAAATACTGTATTTTAAACTGAAACCTTTTTATTAATCTAAAAAATAATTTGAAGAAGGTACATTATTCGAATCACTTCTAAAATAAGGTCTGAATTCAAAGCTTGTGCAAATTATGACTAAAGTGTTCATTTTTGTATGCAATGGAAGATAAAGGTCTGAAGTATTTCAGAATTTTTTATCAAAACTAATAATGGCGTATCTGTGTAGTCATGTGATTTTTATATGTGTTTTGATTGGTCAATCTTTGATCAGTCTGTGTCAGTTAGACATTCCTTGTCATGTGATATGTGTAACAGCCCTCTATTTATTATTCACTTGTTCCATATCATGTACCTTTAAATCAATTTTTGTTACAAAAATCGAAATATAATATGACTTAAAACATGACAACAGAGTTTTTTTTATATATACCATGTTCTACTTTGATTTTGGACTGCTTAGATTCATTTGCAATATACTCTTTGTCATAGATGACTTGCGGATAGAAAATCAGTTGAATATCTACAGAAATAGTATTTTTTAAAAATGCAGAAACCTTGTTGGACAGACAGACAAGAAACCTGTAGGCTTAACCTTCTCTGAATTCTTCAGAAGGGGGAATAAAAAGAAATCCAGCCAAGTCATAAATCCTCAGTTATTATTGTACACAATATCCTTTTGCTACGACTTGCATTTTTTTCTTAAAACTAGAAGGGTGTCCTTCTTACAGATGAGCAATTGGTGCATCCCAAACATTTAAGCTGCTTCAACTTCGTGCAATAGAGTTATCACTCTTGCCATATTGATAGTGTTACTTAGATGTATACTCCGTATACGACACAATTCTGCAAATTATTAGTTGAAATGAATCGCAGTTTTTACTTATATACCCGTACATTTATTTTCCGTTGCCAAATAAGAATACGCAGCGGAATACAATTAGTTGCAGAATACGTGCTACTGGTGTATTTGGTATAGATAGTTGGTAGTCCGAATAATCTGACGTTTTCTAGGCTTTTTTTCACGATTTTGTTATTTTACGTGCTAGAAAAATATATCAAAATCGTAAAAAGGCATAGGAAACGTAAGACATTTCGAACTTATCAGAATTAAAATTGTGATTGAAAATTTGATATTAGGGATTGATAGTCAATCGTACGTTCATCAAATAATTTATTTTGACAAACGAATCATCATATCTAAAACAAAATAGTTTTAAGATGCCGTCAGTTTAAAGATCTTGACCATTTCATTATACTTATGCAGTGTTTCTGTTCTTTAGTTCTCTGAAAAAGTACCATGTTTTCCATCGTTCTCAAAACAACAAGTAAGACATCAAGTTTGATGAAGTATTTTATTATAAAAACGAAAAATATAAATGTATAAAAAATATAATAGTCAAAATTCAGTTTCCAAAAAAATCATGAAAAGTAGGGATGTCAAATCAAAAAAATCATGAAAAGTGTAAATAAATATAAACAAGAAAATTGATGAATGTAAAACATTGTAAACACCTGTAGAGATAAAATCACATGCTCTGATAGGAGGTTTACACGTAAATGCATTTCTGTTGTAACAATGATGAGAACTAAATTTATTTATCAGATATAAAATCGACACAAAAAATAATTTACTCCGTTATTGTAATAAAATTCTTTGTTGCATTTGACGTCAAGTTATATATATCAGAGTCGTACTTGAACTTGACCAAGTTCTAACAAATTTTCGTAAACTTTTCGATCCTAGATTTTATAGTATCACAGGACGGTATTTTGTAGTTTGGTGCAACGATGGACATCAGCTTTTTAAAAGCCTTTGCCTTCAACTATTTGTACATGTATTGGCATGTAATCAAACACAACCATATCAACAGTCGCGCGTGTAATATCATCTGATTTACGGCTTCTCGGAGAATGACAAAATTATCTAATTTATCTAATCATAACAGACCTTAATTAAACGATGTTCAGTGAAAACAAATAATTAAAGAAAGTCAAAAAATAAGGGTAGAAGACAGCCGAAGGTGAGAAAAGCCAGGTAACAGGTGCTCTCACGATCGATAATTACTGTATAAACACTGCCATGGGCGATAACAGTCATTTAGAGGAGTAGGAAACCCTAATTACTGTATGTACAAGTGCATTGAGTATTTTTACATTTTAAAACAGATTGTTTAATGCATTAATAAATAAGCTCAGAAATATTCAAAAACATACATCCGAGTAACCGAGTACCGATTTTAGTATTCGATACGACGAGGTTAACCGGGTACTCGTTGACATCCCTAATGAAAAGTAATATGTACTAAAATGACACAAAAATGAATACTTGTACAAAAATGCGAGGATTGAGCTTTGTGATGGATTCTATTCTACAAAGTATCGCGACGAGATGAGTACAATGTTGTTCGTCAAGATTGTGATCAACTGATGAATTTATGGCAATCATAATGCAAAAAAGTTTTTGAAAAATACTTTTAAAAATAAATTATAAAACATAAAAAAATACAAGAATCGTAGCATAAAATGAAAGACTAGAAAGGCACTTGGTACTTCAAAATTACTGGTTCAAAATTAGTGAATACCAAAGCAATTGAACACATCATTTACCATACACACGTAGACTTTGACACGCTGGGTTACAGTAGGATGGCGGACAGTTTCCCCTCCGACAGTTACTAATGCACCAGTTATCAGCAGCCAATGGACTGATCATTTTGAATGCTGGTACAGCGGTGCACGTGTTCGAACTGCCGCCGACTACCGCCAGAGGGAGCTGAGGGCGCACCACCACGTTGTGTGGTACGTTTGGCTGATAACTTCCGCCTTGCTGAGACCCAATGGAGGACTGGCCGATGGCGATGTCTGCGCAGCCGTAGAATTGTTCCTGCTGGCCACATCCTTTACATGTCTGTCCGTACGAGGAAAGTCCATAACTATTACCTGAAATGTAAAAAAAGAAAATAAACCTTTAATGTTAATATGTCTTCTGTGTTCGATTTTCTTTGCAATAGATAATGAAAATGCGATTTTTTGAGAGCTTCTAAATTTATCTATAGCTAATAATAAACTAATAATAGACCTGTAATAAAATCATACCTGCATTATATTTCCATTGTAGAACACATTGAGTACACGTGAGCCCCCGTGGCAGTTTGAGCTTTATTGAGTAGGTCTGGGGACGTCCTTGTTCCATGAATCGAACACTCCCAGAAGGTTGATGAAGGACATATTGATCTAAACAGGCCTGTGTTGCAGGCTTATGAACATTATTATTCGGACATAAACGGAATTCGAAATATCCTAAATGAGAGGCTGTGATTTTCACTTTAACCTGAAATCAAGAAAACCCTAAATAAATGTCAGTCTTTTGCATCCAGATATGTAATAAGCCCTTTCAATGTAATCTAAAATACTAGTAACTTCATAAGTTCAGATCATTTTTTTTTGCAATATATTCTGTCTTATGTGTCAGAGTGAAAGCATATGTTAACTTACGTCGATGATTTGTCCTTCGGTGTATCTTTTGCTTATTATTCCAGTTGCATATCGTCCTCCAGCCTCGTTTTCACGTACGCCATCCCAGGGATCACCACAGATCCCACATTTTCCGCCATTTTTATTCCATTGTCTCTGGAAAAAGATAAACGGAAGATGACTTTCATTGATGTTTATCAACATGTTTTGTTGTTTTTCTTAAAATATAAAACAATCATATTTAGTTGTTTAAGAAATAAGTTCTTACATCGAATCCTCCACAAAACAGTTGGTTGTCGTCGTAGTTGTGGGGCGTGTTAAACCCGAACCTCCACATACTTGATCGTGAGGGGGGATCCTGGAGGTAGCCGTGCCCCAGGGCAGCGGGGATCAGCGTCAGTATGAGAAGTCCAATCATCTTGTAGTATTTTCTGTATTCCGAATTCTGTGAGAGTTAAAACAAAATGAACTTATAAGAAGACTTGCAATGGTTTGCAGAATATCATATTTTAAAATTTTGAATTTGTCAATAAATCAGTCTAATTAAAAATTATCGGAAAACTTTGCTTGCTTTCTTTTAATTGCAAAAGCCCCGTTTAAGTGTTAATTTTAAATATATTAGAATATTAGACTTTAATACTTACTTTGAGCAAGAATTAATGTATGTCGGTTGTTTGTTGTTGTTTTCTGGAGTAGCCACACTGGTCGTATATATAGTGAGTTTTTATCTTTTCGTTTGTGTACATATTGGAATCTCTACTACGCAATCACAGCACTGATATCCGATTTAATCTACAAAAGACTTCCAGTACAAACTTTGACATCATCGTTTCAAATTTCTTGTACTCGGATTGTTTGGGTTTAGTCATTCATTGTTTTTCTTAAAATTTCGATTAAAAATGTGTTCTGATTTCTGTTAAGACGTCAAAGTTTCGAAATTAAGGGATTCTTTGAGGACATGTCGGGCAACGGGTATATGCAAACACTAGTATTTAAATACTTCGAGGTTCTAAGAATAGTTGTATTTATATATACATACGTACATAAATATAGTCATTGATAAGAAGAAAATTTGATAAAATGAATAATAGAACATTTACGTGCATATATACAGATTATGGTTTCGACCGAATTGTGTGTAACCGTAACATGGCAACATTTATCGCTTTCTGAATTGTTACTTTCAAGGTTTAAACCACAATGTAACAATTAACCACAGTCAATGTTCTCATTGACAGAACATGATGGTTTGCAACATGACTGATTTCTGTTCTACTATAAAGGCATCTTTGTTTCAGTCCACTTTGTGATGATATTTACATTCAGGCATCATAAATTTTGCTGACACCGAAAAAAGATGGAGACACAAATGCTTACAGTCTTTTCTCACCATTTTTCATATTAGGGATTGTCATCGTTTAGATGTTAAAATATAATTTTTCATCCTCTTCCGGTTAAGAATCCAGGAAGATACATGTACTTGCATAAAATGCCATGAGACCCAAAAACTATTTAATCTTTTGGGGGTAAATTTTCCCCAATCTTTATGCATAAAACTGAATAGGATTTCCTTTAAAGGCTTGGTGCATGTTTTTGTTTATGGGGAACTCCCTGGGCATTTACCCGAGATGGATTTTTGGAGGATATACTAGACCCGTTTCCTATGAGACTGTACCCTAGTGATATGACTCCAGGACAAATCTTCCTAGACCTAACCACAAAAACGATGACACATTCCCTGTCAAACATCTACAAGATGGAAAAACAACAATCGGATGTTAGTGATAATATCTGGGTCGACAGGTGCTTTATGATGGCATCCTTTAATAAATAGATTTAAAAAATAATAAAGACGATCTATGGAAAATTAAATAACCAAAACTGAAATTATGTATACAGATGACAAATTTTTCAAAAACACACACGTAAATTTGCATCTGGCCTACTGATAAAACGATCCATCAATGACGTCTGAGGGTTTTCGAAGGACAATGGAGGAATTTTGAATTCTCTTTAATAAAACAAACAAAGAGATGACTGGTTTTATGAATGAAGCCAGGATTTACTTATCTGAGAGATTCAATTATTTGAGATTTAGGACCAAACGTCTACGCAGACGCACTATGAAAAATGAGACATATGTAAATAAAGATTTTGATCAGCTTTGGGTATAAATAAGATTTTTGCGTGTAGGTTGGAAACAAACAACAAATACCTGCAACAAGAAAAGGTACTGTTAGATTTAATTTAAAAAGTTTTAACTTTTTAAAAGCCTCATGTGTGCATTTGCTACAAAATATGTTTTCTTTAAAAAAAATAAAAACTTTTAAAACCAATTTTAAACTTTATTTTTAAACGAGTAATTAGGAAATTTCAATTAAGTACTCAATCCGTTTCTTTTTCTTTTTTTATTTTTGTAAAAGTATTTAAAGTTAGTTAACTTTTGATTCCCCTTTAGGTTAACCACCTTAGCAATTTGCAATAAATTATATCAGAATTGCCATTTGATTATTTGTAGTGTTAAGATGTCCACTATTCTCCTTCTGACCCTCCTTGCACCCGCCGTCCTGGGGCACGGCTACCTTCAGGAACCCCCCTCCCGCTCCAGTATGTGGAGGTTTGGCTTCAACACACCTCGTAATTACAACGACAATCAACTCTTTTGTGGAGGAAAAGATGTAAGACATTATCTCGATTATAAATTGCCAAATAAATATTAATTGCAAAATCGGCATATATAATTTTCAAAGTCGATTTTTTTTCTTCTAGAGACAGTGGGGCAGAAATGGCGGAAAATGTGGAATCTGCGGCGATCCTTGGGATGGCGTTCGTGAAAACGAGGCTGGTGGTCGTTATGCAAAAGGAATCATAAGTCGAAGGTACAAAGAAGGAGAAATCATAGAGGTAAAAGTATTACATGCACTTATTGATAAAACCGATAAAAATAAAAGCATTAAAATTTTCTTTATAGATTTCAAAAATAATTTTGAGATTTGATGTTATTCTTCAGGCACAAGTGAAAATCACTGCATCCCATTTAGGATACTTCGAATTCCGTTTATGTCCGAACAATGATATTCACAAGCCCGCAACACAGGCCTGCCTGGATCAATATATTCTTCACCAACCTAACGGGAGTGTTCGATTTATGGAGCAGGGACGGACCCAGGTCTACGTAATAAAGCTTCAACTTCCAAGAGGCTTGACGTGTTCACAGTGTGTTCTGCAATGGAAATATAACGCTGGTAGGAATCATTTGGCTAATACTTCCAGTACATGATATGTCCAATAAAATTCTTAACGATATATTGCAAGAATATAAAGTTAAAAAAATAATTAGAAAATTTAACTCCATTGTTCAAAATAATATTTTATAAGTTCTATGAGTATGTAATGTTTTGTTATTGTAAAATATCTGGGAATATTTTGAAGAGTCCATTTCTACATTTGCAATTAAAATTTCTTTAATAAATTTTGTTGAAATAAAAATAACAAAAAATGGCTATGTAATCCTGTATGGAAGATAAGAAAACTTGTTTGTGGTATGCATCTTTTCAGACATACAATTAATCTTTTAAATAACTTTATTTGTTTAGGAAATAGTTTTGGAAGGACCCCCTATGGAAGGATGTGTAAAGGATGTGGCCCTCAGGAACAGTTTTATGGTTGCGCTGACATTGCCATTGACAAAGCCCCTTACGGATCCCAGCAGAAAGGAAATTTCCACCCTTACGTACACGTGACACAGCACGTTGAAGCACGTCCTTTAGTAATCACCAATGGGGTCCAGCAGAAGGATATTCCACATCCTGTACCGCAGCACGTTGAGGCACGTCCACAACTGATTCCAACATTTGTTGATGGCGTTGCAGTAACGTGTCGTGCCACCCCAGGATTCAGAATCATGAATAGCTACGCTGATAACTGGTGCAAGTCTAACTGTCGACGTGGGTATTGTCCGTCTCTGTATTGTACATCGGCGTGCCAAAAATTAAAAGTTCAGGGTTAGTGTCATACATATCCTTCTTAGTGAATGCATTTTTTGTGTTTGAAAAACACCGCCATGCTTTTAATAGACATCAAGAACTTTAGAAATTTCATCTTTGTGTTTCAGCTGCATCTAATGCTTGCAATCGGTCTTTTCACGAACTTTCTCTGTATATTTTATTTATTTATATTTTGTTACCATGAGAGCTTTTATGCAATTTTTTATTTGTTATTTTATTTATATATTTTATATTTTTTACATTTTTGTAATAAAACAATTATAAAAATCACTTTTGGTATTTTTTTTTATTTTACAAAAGGAATGACAAACTGCAGATGCAAAATACAAGTAAAAAATGCAACAACAAAAACCATATATATTTTTGAATGAAATATGAAGATTATAAACAGTAATAAAACTCAAAAGCCCACTGCTCATTAATTGTTAAGTTCTGGCAAACAAGAAAAAATTGGTAGACACTACTTCAAACCATCCACCCTTCTTAGAGAGAAAAAAGGTATACAAAATCTCTTCATACATTGACAAAGAACTTCTTCGTGATTGTCAAAAATGCTCCTCAAACCCCTTATTCCACTCCTCAGTATAATACCAGCATCCATTCCTCATTATTACTCCTGGATAAAATGCCAATTAACAATCCCTTCATTTCAACCTACTTCTCGCTGAATACTGGATTGAAAATAACAATCTCCTCATCTTCTTTAAAACCATGTAGCCCATACAGGCCGGGACACTCCACCACAGTTGTAATGTTAGGATTTTCGTAAATGGACGAGGTTTCCGAAATCACTGCTTGAGGATCGTAACCTACAGATTTTTCCTCCTCTTCCTCCAAGCCATGGTAAAGGTTGTAAGGAATGGGACGGGGACCCATGTTCCACTCGCCTTGTTGATTTTCAGTATTGTTTTGGCATGGAAATGTGCACATTTGTGCAATTTTGCATCCAAAGCATGCCATGAATGTACAAATGATGCCTACAACGTAAAACATCAGAAGGTTCTTAATCAATGGAAAATGTCGCTCTCCTTTGAAATCTTGAGGATTATGGATGTCTGATACTCCGTCTTGATGGAAGCTTACAGATAAAGGTGCACTCATGCACAGCGGCAGCCCTATCGTTAATCCAGCAATAATTTGTCCAAGAATTTTGGAACTCCCCATGGTTGGTATTGAAACAAGTATGTAGTTTTAATTGCGTTACTAAATTGTGTTGTCACAGTAGATGCGACGTCACAATGAATGTAGTAATATTCATTGTGACGTCATGAGGAATTTGGTGCTAGATTCATGATAACGTCATAATCACTTTCAACTTTACGGCACTAATAGAATTATGTAGAAAATAAAGCATTTTCAAGGAATTCAATTTGAAATCACATGAAAGTTCCGATACCTATATGAAAGTTGACGTTATTTTAAAGAAGGGACCAAAAACATAGAAATTACCGTTTTCTAATATTGTAGGCAATCTGGTTACATTTTCTTTGTCTATATATGAAAATATTTCCTATAATCATGACTGGATTTCTTAATTTTTCATTAGAAATGACAGATTAATATGACTGTGAAATTTCATCTTGTTTACATACAAATTATGCCCCGAAATACATTATTTGACCAAACTAAAGTTATGTAATGGCCTGGGGGTGAATTTAATTAATAAGTTTATTTTTTATTGATTTAATTGTGTCAATATTTATTGGGAATATTATCTGGGTGGATTTTATTATGCATTAACTAGTCATTCCCACATTTCAGTCCCTTGATTATTTATTTAACATGGTATCGTCTATTTTTAGCACGTTTGACATACTTGTTGCTTGGATTTATACAGGAAATGCTATATTTTATGAATTCATGTACATACCTTCAAAATCTTTGTATGTTACTGTATTTTACTTGACTATTTATGAGTCAAATTAGGGCTTGACATAGCCATAATTGCACACGATTGTTGGAGTCATGAAAGTTGTTTACATCCCGCCGACATCTTATTTGTATTAGCCAGAGTTTCGTATTTGAACAAGTTGTATTTTTGTTAGGCAATTCGATGTTATTTTTGCTTGTTAATATCCACAAAATTAATGTTTGACTATGTTTTACTAAGATTCATCAAGGGTTTTCACGTTAAACGCGATTTTATGGTAGTTACACATTTTTACTATGACAGAGCTAATTGAATATCGTCTGCTGTACGATTAGAGTTTTGTATCATGAAATACGGGTTTAATTCACATGAAATGTTTACTTACGGTTGATGAAAACATCTCTCGGATCCATGCCATATTACTCTTATTGTTATTTTGTAATTTAATTCCATTTTTGTAGTAAAAATCTTTGTTGTACGGCAGCCTTGTTTGACGTTGTTTGACACTGTTTGACAAATCTCTGTTTGTACGGCGCCGTACAGCGCTGTGATTGGTTGATTGACGCCGTACAGCTTTTTCATTGGTCAATTTGTATCACATGACTATTTCCGAAGGTTATAAATATAAGTGCCTCGCATATTATTTTCAGATAAGGTGCATCAGCAACACACAGCGGTTTCAGCTAAGTACTAGGTGAGACAACTGAAATTATCTCCCAACACACTGGACACCTGATGTTTGAATTTTTAGAACCTTTTTAATTTCAAATCAACTTTATTGTATTTTTTTTTACCCTTGAAAGTACGGTTGACATTACTGACCAAAACAAACTATTAATTACCTATATGTACCCAATATAGATGTTTGTTTACCTGCCTGTTCAATGATGAATTAATAAATCAATTATTAAACTGTTACCAAGTCTTGTCCTTACTGAGAAATATGAAGCAAGAAATAAGGAATGACCTTGAGAAGTGTTGTGTGTAATTATTTTGTATAGCCCCCATTCCAGGATGGCCATCCGTGGGGAGCTTACAATTTTTGGTGTCAGAAGTGGGATGCCTATTTTTGTTAAAGGCATCCAGTGATACAAACCCATTCCCTGCCCAGTAACCGCTCAGCTGTCCAGTGTGTTGGTATTACATGTACATAATTATGTAAATAATGTGTTTGTTAACTTTTAACTTTTTATTTTATATTTTAATAAGTACTAGTAAGATGGCAAAGGCTCAATCCCCAGACCCCGAAGTGCAATTTCGTGTTGATGATGGTGAGTTAGGCCAAGGTGACCAGTTCTTTGACTCTCCCTCCTCCCCTAAACGTCCAGAGAGACCTAGCCTTACCCCACGTCCCAATGTCGAACCAGAACTTGGTAACAGAAATAGATTTGTACCATACCCCCAAAATTCCCCTCCTCCCAGAATGCAATATGATAGATTGATTGATGTGACTAGACAGTCCCCTGAGACTAATATAGTTGTAAAGCCAGAGTCCTACAATGGTAAAGATGACTGGGATGAATACATCTCTCATTTCCAAGATTGTGCGGAGTTAGGCAGATGGTCTGACCGCACTAAGTTACTTTTCCTAGCTGCCAGTCTTTGCGATCAAGCCAGAACTTACTATATGGGATTATCCCCTGAAGACAAAGAATCCTTTCAGTCTCTTGTTCACAAACTTAACCTAAGGTTTGGTAGCACTAAAAACCAGAATCGATGGCTCTCTAAACTCGAGATGAGACGACGCCTTCCAGGAGAGTCCATAGCAGTAGTTGGTGATGACATCAGGCAGATGGCCCAAAGAGCCTACCATAATTTGGACGCGGTAGCTCAAGAAGCATTAGCTCTCAATCAGCTGTATAAAGTTATCTCCCTTGAGATGAAGTGCCGGTGCATTGACAAAGAGTGTCAAACGGTGGCTGAAGCCGTAGATGTAATTGAACGGTACGAGTCTATTCTTGGGGATAGCTCAGAAAAGCGCAAGTTGAATGTTCGCGCCGTTGAATCAAACGCGAGAGCAAAACGGCCATTTGACGAGCAGAAACCTGAAAAAGAAGGAAACAATGAAATTAATTCTACCCTTCAGAGTCTCATTGCGAGATTAGATCGCCTAGAACACATCTCAAATAAGACCAATAGGCCCTACCCAGCTCACAGAAACTGCTATATATGCGATTCTCCAAATCACTTCATGAAAGCTTGCCCTTACAGGCTCCAGGCATACCAAAGCCAATATCAACAAAAATTCAACCAAAGCACTGTACCAAGCCACAGCCGAAAGACCCAGGGAAACGGGAAACCGCTGACTCAATAGGCCCAAAGCCAGCGGAAACAGGGTGGCCTACTTTTGATTTTGATACAAGAGGGGGCCATATTGGGGAAGTGGGTAGTCAATGGGATAATGGATTTTATATTTTAGCAAAGATTTATGGTAATGAAATACATCTTCTTGTGGACAGTGGGTCAACCGCGTCCATAATTTCAAAGGATTTTTTGATGGAGCTGAAATCAGTTGTGTTAGAACCAATTACATACAAAATATCAGATGTAAGTGGTAACCAAATATCAAACTATGGTTCCTTGTGTATGTCCAGTGACTTTTAGGCAAAAAGATTTACCAACAGAAATTTATTGTTTGTGACATAGACCAGGATGGCATTTTGGGTCAAGATTTCCTTTTGAACCATGTTGAGAAAATTAATTATCAGCACCTAGTCCTTCTTACCAAAGAACCTGATGAAATCCAGTGTTGGATTGGGGGAAAGGAGAACATGAAATGCCGGGTTCTGTTACAGAGTACAGTTACCTTGCCACCAAATTCAGGTGCCCTACTACCAATCAAAATATCAAATGCAGAATACCTGACTGAGAATGGACTACTTGAACCTGAAATGAATCTTGAAAATGCCTTCCTTGTCCCAGGAATTGTTGATTTGCAAAAGAAAAATTGACCCTAAATGTCTTGAATACTAGCCTCGACCCTGTTACACTTTATGCCAACCAACAAGTGGGAACATGCGAGTCTTACACAGACCAGCAGATTGACAGTTCTGTTAGAGCTGTACCACACATGACTAGTGACAATGACATGACAGTGCCGACTCTACCTGAAGGATTTATTGGAGAGAAGCTCTGTACATTTAAACAATGACCAGACTGGCGCCCTGCAAGACCTACTGACCAGATACAAAATGGTATTCTCGGAATCATCTGAGGACATCGGACACACCAATTTGGCTCAACATAAGATCAATACCGGAACAGCTCTCCCTATTAGACAACCAAGTAGACGACTCCCTATAGGAAAGAGAGAAATGGAGAAAGAAGAGTTACAGAAAATGATAGCAAGGGGAATTATAGAACCTTCAAGTAGTCCCTGGGCTTCCAACATTGTACT